AGGGAGCACTCAATCCCCTCATCCAGATCACCAGGACCATCCCTGACCCTTCTTTTAGGAGCCTGTAAAGACCTTTGAGCAAGGATAACCCAGGATGGTCAGAGAAGACCAAGCTGGAAACAAGAGCTGGAGCTTGGGGAGGGTCACACTGGAGCCCACAGCCACCCCAGTGCTGGCTCTGTCCCCATAGTACTGTGGTGGATCTCCCATACCACCCACTCTGGTGCTGTGACAAGGGACTGTCCTGCTCTGCTCCCAGGGATGCTGGCTCCAACCAAGCTATCACTGGTGCCACCACATTGAGAGCCAGCCTTGGTGGGCACCAAGTGGCCACCACCCTAAGACCATCACTGACCTGAGCAGTGGGTGCAGAAAGGCCTGGACCAGTTTAAGGAGAAAAATCTTGTGTCTGACTTGTACAAAACTGCTTTAATGACAAAACAGATGAAAAATACTTTGTTTTGGTGCGTTTCTAGTACCATCAAGACCCAAATCCCTTCCGGGCTGGGGATCACCCACTGCCTGGAGGGGCAATGGGCTCTTCTCAGGCACCTTCTCCCAGTGCAACAAGTCCCAGGGGAGGGGTCTGTCCTTGAGACTACACAGAAACCCCCTTCAAGACCCTCCACTAAGGACAATTTTCCTTCCAACCAACTGGAAATACCTCGGTGAAGTGCTCTGGCATTGAGGATCCTTCTCAGTTCAAGAGTGCTCCTGTGGCCACCACCCTTCCCATCACTGAAGCCCCATTGGCAGCCCACATGGGGAGGCAAGACAGCAGCAAGAGCTTCAGCAAATGATGCTTCCAGACCGGAGCCAGCCCGGCCGAGTCCCTGAGACACCGGATACCACCTTGATGGGCGCTGAACCCAATGAGAGGCTTGGAGAACACAAAGTCCAAACCTCAGCAACCGCTGGGCGATGGGGCGAAGAAATACACAGCCAGGAGGATGAAGTAAACCATCACCAGCACTGTGCCTAGGGCAGACAGAGAAGGTTGGAGGAGGTTACTCCCTGGAGCAACGAGGGAGGTTGCTTTTGAGACCTTCTGGTGTGGTCTGGATTAGCTTGTATTTATCATCGTGGTCCTCCACCAAGTCTCAACTAAAATGGGTTTAAACTCTCTCAAGGGTGGAAAGGGAATGATCCCCTTGGATCACTGGCACCTACAGCACCCCCAAAATGGTCAACCCAAGACCCCAGAATTGCTCAAGCCACCACATGCCAAGAGCTGCAGCAAGCAGAAGACCCCAGGGCTGAATCCTGGAGCCCCCCCACCCCGTCAGCACAGGGAAAGTAGCTACGCCAAGTGCCACGGGCGAGCGGTCACCTTGGAAGTAGTCGCATTTGCCATCCATGAAGATGTAGTTCATGAGTACCACGCTGAACATGCTGGCGTAGACGTGGAGGTCGCTGAAGACAAGCGTGAAATTGGTCGGCTGTGAGGCAGAGAGGATTTGGGGGTTTATGGCCAACCAGGACTTGCATGTCACCCCTTAAACCCCCATCTGTCACACAGCCCTAGGGCTGGGGACAGCATCAGCCAAGTAGGAGACACCTGAGCCCACTTTGGGCAGAGGACAGGAGACCCTGGGGGTGGTGGCTGTGCCCTTGCCACATCTCATGGAGTGCTGGGTGTCCCCAAACTCACTGGGAGGTCACCCAGGGGCTACTCACGTAGAAGATGGTGAAGAGCACCAGGATGGGGATCTGAAGCATGCAGACCTGGACGGCGATGCAGTTCCCAATCTCGATGCTGGGGGAAGGACAGAGGGCTTAGGAGCTGCCAAGGCCCACATCTCCAGCAGCTCAGGGTGAGAAAAACCAACCTTGGGGAACCAAACCATGGAGCCCAGCCTGGTTCTGGCCCCATTTTTTGGGTGGCTTGAAGTCCTCTTGAGGGCAAGGTGGTAGGGATTTGACCCACCAGTGGCACAAACCTGGGCAGCTTTGGCACCAAGGCACAGCTGTGGGGACTGGGAGAGGACACAGGGACCATGCTGGAGGAGAACACCCCAAAACCCATCCTTTGAGCCTCCTCACCTCAAGCTCAGGTTGTTCTGCAGGGCAAACTGGATGCCATTGACGATCTCCGGCAGCTCAGGCACCATCGCCAGCACGGTGACCCCGATGAAGTACTGTGAGGAAGAGGTGACATCAAGAACATGCATATGGCCCAATTTTGGCCACATCCAAGCTGTGGCCAACCACGCTCCTTGACGCGTGGAGCATCTCAGCATCTTCCCCCTGGTTTTTAGGGCTCGACCCTGCAGCCAGGGCAGGTTCCCATCCCTGGAGAGGGCACATCTTGGTCCCCAAGGCCATTCCCAGGCTCACCTGTGAGATGGTGGAGTTGGTGAGGATGGGGCTGATGTGCTCCGTGGCCAGGTCGGCACAGGCTGACATGCAGAGGGTGGAGAGCAGGAGGATGACCAGGGCCCGCCAGCGAGACCAGTGGACCACAGCGCTGTGGTGGTGGCCGGGCACTGGGAGGTAGAAGAGCAGAGACGTGGTGGGACATCCCAGGGTGGCGAGAAGAGCCAGCCCCACAACTGGGTCACCCCACGGTTTGGGGACACTCACTGTGACAGTCGCTGATGTGGATGTCGTAGATGTGTGAGTGAGTTTTCAGGGTGAAGAAGAGACCGATGAGGTAGGCGGCAGGGAGCAGGAGGGACACTGTGTACACCAGGGGTCTGTGGGACACAGGGGACACATTCAGTGCCACCAAGGTCCGGCATGGAGACCCCAAATGAGTCCCCTGCATTGGCTGGGGATGGGGGTGCAGGGTTGGAGCCCTTCAGGGTGGTAAAGAGGAGATCTAGGAGGGATGCAGGGCCACAACCCAGCCCTGGAGGTGCCACCCCACTGTGGTGACAACCCTGTCCCCACCCCAGCAGACACTCACTGGACGTGACTGTAGTAGAGGGTGCCGTTGTTGTCCATCTGCTGAGAAAAAGAGGCTGTCAACGGAGATGCAGGGGACAAGGGACAGTCCTGCTGCCACCCCCAAGAGCAGGGGCCAGGAGGACTTGGGGTGTCCCCAACCCCAAAGATCAGGGCTCCATGTCCCCACTCACCAGATCAAAGTGACAGTTGTGACAGAGGTAGTGGCCCAGCGGGTTCTGGGTGATGTTGTGGCACTCGCCACAGATCAGCTTCCCGTACACCTTGGAGAAGAGCGTTGGGGCAAAGACACCTACGGGGATAGAGGGACATGGGGTGGGTGGCCATGCTGGTGGGACCACCCCCCCAAACCTGGGGACAGCCCTGTCCCCAACTCACCTCCCACAGAGAGGAAGAGCAGGGCCGAGCTGACGCCCGCCGAGCGGCTGGGGGACTGGTGCCGGATGCCCCCGATCACCATGCACAGACCCTTGGGGATGGAAAAAAAAAAACCCCCCACCAAAACACAAGTCCCCATCAGCGCTTTCCTTACAACATCCACCCAGCTCTCCGGCAGAGACCGGGCGCTCTCGTGCCACGAGCGTCACCCCCCATCTCACCGGGACGAAGAGGACACAGCCCACCAGCGTCCCCGTCAAGGCCGACTTGACGATCTCGGCGTAGCAGCGGTTGCCCTCGCGTGAGCCCTTGATGAGGGCCGTGATGTAGAAGGTCAGCTCTGTGATGGAGCCGAACGTGGCGTTCACCACTGCTCCCACCGCAAAGTTGCTCTGGGCTGAGATGCTGGAGGACAAGGAGGACGTCAGCGGGGCTGGTACCCGTCCCCATCTTGTCCCCAAGTATCCCTCCCCGTCACCGCTCACCTGGCGATGGCCATCCCGATGTAGTAGGAGAGGGGCATGATGGAGAGCAGGGCCAATGTGAACTTGATGGAGGAGCTGGTCAAGCGGTTGTGGCTGTCCACGTAAGCGTCACCAGCACCAGCGGCAGCAGGTCTGGGGTGGCTGGTCAAGGAGATGACCGAGGCGAGGTGGGATTTGGGGTCAACCCCCCACCTACCCTCCCCACAAAAGGATACTGACAGCGAAGACATTGATGCCATCCACGGCGTATTTGTAGTAGTAGGGGTTGACGGCGCGGTAGCAGCAGAGGATCACCTCCCCCTCCAGCGGCACCTCCGTCTGCGGAGGGACAAGTGGGTGACGACACTCCAAGCACACCCCCACACCCTAAAAAAAAATCCACCCTCACCCCCGCACGGAGGCACCCACCATCTTCAGGCGCCGGACGAGCACCCGCTCCGGGGGCCGCAGCAGGACGCGGGTGGTGGTGCGGGGGCTCAGCTTGGCCACGGGG